TAAAAATAAGTAATCCGGAAAAAGGAGTCTCACACTTTCTTTGCTACGTTAAATTGTAGGTCAGACTTCTCAGCTTCAAAAGGTAGTGATAATAAGACGAGTCATCAGCAGTAGAAGTACATCAGAGATATAAAGGGATGCTTCGCTACCGCACAACAACAATCACCTAGGGAATAGATAATAATAATAATAATAGGTGGGAGAAAAGAGGGGACTTAGTGTCAAACCTGTGTCTTAAGTAAACATTCAATACCAAGACGCATGCACCTTGTCAGCAACAGTCGCAGTTGTCTTTCGGAAAAGTGTAGTATGACATGTATGGGAAAGATTCTTCACAAGGCGTAGAAAAAGTAGAGACTGAGTGGATATCAGGACTTGGTATGACACAGTCCGAGTTGCGAATGGGTGTTGAGAATCCTCTCCAACTGCAGATGTCTCACAGAAGGCAAAGCCTATATGCTTCTGATACATTCCGGATAGATTTAAAATAAGATCTTGGAGAGTATTTTCAACAAAATACTGTTGTGGTACTGTTTTGCTCTGTAGACAAAGAGCAGGGAAAAAGTGAACACGGGCAACTGTAGATACCAACTGTAGATGCCAACTCATAAGAGTTGGTAGTCAGGTGCCAGTCTACAATGTTTTAATAAGTGTCGTTACCATGCGGAATTGTCCATCGCCTGGCTGTAGACTGCAGGTGCCGAGGTGAGGTCAGTGGGAAAGTAGGAGCCCTGAGAAGGACGCGCGATGACGGCACTGCTAGATGAGTGTGGTGACAAACATAACAGGCGACGAATGTCGCATTAGGGTGGTAACAGTAAGACTTGTAAACTCGGACGACACAGGTATTGGAAACTGAGTAGCCACGATGTGTGGAGTCAAAAACAATCAGAATGTGAGCATATGACCGGGCTGATGCGTATCCACTTCCCTGTGGAAGGCGGTTACGTAAATGCCTCATCCTCGCGTACATTTGAAACATCAGTGATGAAGGCAATGCAGCTACAGACCATAATTCTAGTGATCTGGTAGAGACAAGCAGTATTGACGGAAATACTTTCGCGGATGGCTTGCCGAACAACATCCTCGTGCTGCCAGCTGTATGTTTCGGGACCATCACGTCCCAGCGATGGCAATGTTCCAGAAAGTAGTGGGTTTTCGCCTGCCTAGTCACATACAACAGTTTAACAAGGCTGTGACGAGGGCACGTAACTCGTCATTAAATAAGGTCATCGTCACTTTGTTTCACTCGAGTGGGGCTTTGTATTCCAGTAGACCTTTGTTGGAATTGTGGGGAGGGTTGGACCCCTGTTTGACAACTAATCAGCGTATGGGATCGAATAGTCAGTCAGTGTATTCCAATGGGCGCTCTGCTGCCTAAAACAACTCCCCACTTCGGCTTAGGCAACTAGGTAGTATCGTGCCCTCTGACAAAACCGTGGACTGTTCCGTGTTGTGTCTGGTTTTCCTTTTACAATAACTCTACCTTCTATTGTTTACTAAAGATCTTAATGACTTTACGTCCATAGGTAGGATGTTGAAAACACTTGAATATATTTTCGCTGTTGAATGTGCAAGCCACATAACTAATGCCCAAGGGTGAGCAACGCCTGATTTAAGCCGAAGTGCACAAGGTGGATTCCTGTAGCTATACTACTCTTCTAGCGAGTAATTGACCAAAAAGTAGAAAACCTTGGAACAAATGGGTGATAGAGAAATGCAGACCTTCGTAAATACCAATGTAGTGAAATGTTCGAGGGACGATCAATAAAAGTACGAAAACTGGAGTGAGTTAGAGTAACTCAGTCAAATCAATCGCACACAGAAAAAACGGATGTGTGTAGCTCAGACAACTGAATGAAGTATAGGGCATGCAAGCTCGGTGTGTGATTACTAAGGAAGGGTAATTCGGTGTACTAAAGTCATATGGTAGGAGTTTGGAGTAGGCGAGTTGATGACTGGTGTAGCTGGGTAGGATGGTGAACTAAGCACGAGGCTTCTCGTGAGAGCTTCACATATAGCGATGGAAGATATGAACGGATATCCAGTGTATAAACTTACTGCTAAAATCTCGGACAATCGCCGTTAAAATCATAACACTCTAAAGGGTAGAACCCAACAAATACGACACAAGAGAATAGAAACTGCTATCAGATGGAAGAAACCAGGATCACAATAGGCGTAACACGAACAACTTACTTGAAGTTGATGTGCAAGTCGGAGTGCAATGTGGGCGTCGGAGAGACAAAAATCAATCAACTGTTTCACTAATTCCGATGACGTAAAAAGACACCGCAGATCAGCAGAATCGATGTCAAAATCAGTCAGATCGAAGCCCAGTAGATCGTCGTTCGAAACACCGGTGGTCTTGTGTAGGAAACGCAGCAGAGGTTCTGGAATTTTGCGACGTGCTGCCGAAGATCCGGTGGAGCCAGCGAGCACCTGACCGGCCAAATCGCTTAGATTGTATGTTCGTGAACGAACCAGCTCACGAGCAGATATAAGCGTGTCACATACCAAGCGGCCAGGGATGGCGTTGCGAATAAGCCAGGTCTGAAGTTGAGAATACGAGAAATTTAATCAAGGAGAGTGTCGAAGGTCGAAAAGAAGGAAAAGATAGAGGAGCGAACGACAAAAACGTTAAAAAACTGAAAAGAGAGCGTGTTATGTAAGAAATGTGAACTGGAGGGTTACTGACTATATCATCAGCAAGTGAGAACGGAGACAGCGCAAAAGAGACAAATCGCACAAGTTTAGAAGTAATTCGTTAAGCAAACATGCAATTCAACTTAGTTACCAAATGGGATCCCATCATCTAAGTGGTATAGGTCGAGTTGTCAAGAGATGTACAGCAATGGTAAACAAATTTGGTACACGGAAATGGGAAATACGCGGGTGAGAATCTAAAGGAAGCATGGATGGACGAAATAGCAGCAGCTGAATGCATGATCGGCTTCCAACCGCTGTGTCAAGCACTGCTCGTGGAGCCAAATGGCCTAGTGATCATGGTGATAGCCACCAAGCACTATGCGCCGAGCTCAGCTCCCAGCTAAGCTATCTCTACGTGATGAATGCAAACTAAGACGAAATCGTCGGTCGTGGAGTGTAGGGATCAGAGAGAACCACACCGAAACCCTCCACATGAGCGGCTTCGTTGGCAGGGAAAAACACGCCGGAAAACGTGTGCAACCATCGACGTGACCGATTCCTTGGCCAGCAACCAAAAAAACGCCTAGAAAGTGTCGTATCTAGTCTTCCGGTTGGTTGCCGCTCGTCCTTTGGCTGGATATTTGGAGGCTTCTGAGATTTCACCCAAAGGCATCAGTAGTACGCCGATACGCAGTGCCGACGCTACGCTGCCGCGCAAACACCATCAGTCGCGCATGGGATAGGATACTGCGAGGGTCGCCCGGTCCTTACGCAGGCTCGAACGGGCGCCCAGGGATTATATTGCAGACTTGTGGTCTTTAAGGCTAAGGGCTGGCGATTCCACCCAACTGCAAGTGATGCTTGCAAACAACATACGCTGAGCAAATCAGCCGACCGGCTTAAAATGAGAGCAAAATAGTCCATGCAGATGATCTAGACGAAAGACGAACAAACGCGTTACCAGATCCTAAGTAGAGGGGATTCGACAGGGTTCAGTGACTATTCTCAAATGATTCCGGCGTCAAATCGCAGATATCGGGTACTACGATTTGTGCTTGTCTGCCCGATGAATGCTAGGCGCAATCCAACGTATGTGATGTTATGGTTGATGGGTTAACACCACGAAGCTTCCATAGAGAATTTGGAGTGATAAAAAAGTCCACTGAAATCCCATCAACGTACCAACCGTCCCTGATAAATCCAGCTCAAGGTAACAGCGGAACTGCTCTCCCAAAAATTTAGAACGCATTAGCTGCCAATTATTCCATTCAGTGAGGCCTGTGTTTAGTACGTGAAGCGGAGAAGTGGAAAGTATTAGACTGTCCCAACTCACAACTGTTTCCCATAATCGTGTGGAGTCTAAGCCATACTGCTTGCTGTAGTGACAAGTGCTTGGCAAGTTCGTTCTCTGGGTTGGATAAACCTGACGAACAAATGCCTCGAAAATACAGACACCCGGTGCTGCTAACTTGCACAAATGCATAGCACATTCAGCTTCAGGATGCGATCGCAGGGCAGGGTCGACAAGTGCTCGGTTATTGCTATCTGAATATTTACCTGAAGTGGTCGATCAGTGACTTATTTTACCGGTGGTCAGATAGACGAAGGGGTTATTGTGCACGTCAATAGAGTTCAGATGACTTCTCATGATTGCAGCTACCTGAGATCGACGCGCGATGGTAGCTTTCGAAATTTGTACACAGCATATATATATATATATAATTGACTGTGCTACTGTGGGTAGAAATAAAGGGTAGCCTCGTCTACGGTTGCCGCAGCCCGCGAAGAATCCGCAAGGCACGATAATGACGAGGAACAAAAGCAACTTACCTTTACTAGATTACATTTTTCGTCCTCTAAACAGAGCCCAGAATATACGTGGAAACGAAACTTAAGCTTATATTTTAATGTTATCTACCGATACAATCAAGGACAAAGTGCCTGATCACCTCCAATCAAATGTAATCTACAGGCTCACCTGCTCCTGTGGAGCTGGATATATTGGGCGCACGACCAGGCACTTAGAAAATCGAATCAAGGAGCACCTATCGAATTCGCCCACCAACCGCAGACAGATCTAATTTAAATGCAGTTACTAACCCATCTGATTGCCACTATGCACAACACTGACAAATGTAGTGCATTTGAAATCCTGACCAGTCTGTTAGCAGCACGACGGCTTGCTACTGCTGAAGCAGTAAGCATAAGACTGATGAAACCTAATCTCCGCATCCAAGAGAAACTCATTCAAGCATTGTAACTTCCATGGCCATCAACCACACGAGAGGAATCTGTTCCCACCCATCAATCCCACTTGTCGCCAATGAAGTCAAGTCAAGTCAATATAAGCTTTATGTACCCAAAAGGGTGCATTTTCAGCATTTTACATTATCAATTGTAAATTTACAAGAGGGTTACCAGTAAAATGCAAAGTTTACAAAAGGATATAAAAATGAGGATGCACTGTCATAGATCAATCAAGCAACAATCCCAAAAAGTTGGACTAAATCTTCCGGATTTATAACTATTGAAAACGGAAAAGGTTTCGTGAAAATGTTTCTTCAGAATTCGTTTCAACTGACGTAGAATTTTGTGTCCAGCAACAATATCTCGGGGATCGTACACGATATGTTGTGTGCATATTCAATGTTGGATGGAGTAAAGGGTCAAGGTGACCTTGGAAGTTGATTTAACAAAATACCTGTCGGTGTAATGTTGCAATACTGAGATATATACAGTAGATAATGTAAAAATGATGTTCGGCGATAAAGGCAACGGCTGAGTTAAAGGCCCCGCCATCTGACGCACATCATGGGAACTGGTTAAGTACAATTTTATCTAAGCAACAGTGTTTTATGTAGCCATTTCTCTTTAGAAATTTTAAGGGAGCGATAATGTACAACATTTGTGTCTTCGCAAGCAGCCGCTTGCGGATAAATCGTGGAAAAAGTGAAAGAATGCAACTGAAAAGGGGACCAATAGGGGAATTGATAAAACACCGAGAAAATTAAGGTCATCGCCTGTCTTACCAAGATAAGACAAAACTGACCCTAAAGCCGAGCTGTTTGCAAAGGTTAGGCTTAACTCGCCGGATGGCAGAGGCTTCTACGAAACGAAGCACGTTCGCGTTGTTCTGTCTGCTGATAATCTTGAATGCATCAAGTGGGTTCACGTACAAGGTGCAATCGAACACCTGCTAACTGACTGAGCTTGCAGGAAGTTCAGGGCCACTATTTGTCAAGTTCTGTGGAACATGTTCCATGATCCTAGTTGATATCCTTCTCGAGGTTCGGCCAATGTACGCGCTACCGCAAGTACAGGTGAATTGGTAAATACATGCGGCGGTAACCTGAGAGTGAGGCTTATCCAAGTTGGATTCATGGAACAGTTTCTTGGCTTGATGTATCAACATGAGCTCAGCTGCATAGGAGCACCATTTTACAGCTTTGCGTAATCGGTAGAAGATTCTGCCGTCGTTCTGTTCTTCTTTGTAAGGTAGCGTAATGAAGACCTTTTCCTTGGGACATCCACTCGTTTTTATTTCTTAGCAACCTCATTTCCATTTCTGGAGATAAATTTGTTCGGATAGCCGTTATTGCGTAGGGTAGACTTGATGTAATTCAGCCTCGATTGACTCTTTAAAGCATATTCAGTGTGATCTAACAAAACAAGTATGAACTAGAGGTCGTGTATAGTTCATTGAACAGTAACTGTTGAAATTGATCCCCTTTTCAACTGCATTCCTTTACTCTTACCACGATGTGTTTGTAAGCGGCTGATTGAGAAGACTTGAAAACACATGAATTCAGGTTATTCCGCACAGATGTTGTTAATTCTTTCTAGCTTATATAATCAATAGTCCATATGTATACTGTCCACAAAACCTGATTGTTTGTAAGTATATTGCTGTAATAGGCCTGATGAGGAAGAAATAGAGAACAATTTTTGCCTTACGCGTTCTGCATACGTTTCTTCTCGGGTTTGACAATCAAAACTGTTTTGTTTTTCTTTCGACATAGGCAAACACAGGATTACCGACGAAGTGAAGATGTCACGAATCAAAATGTGGCAATTCGGGAAGAGAATTAATCGGGATGGAATACGAGCAACTAGATGAAAGAAATCGAATATAGAGGAGCCAGCGATTTCACGACTACATGATACCCGATAAGTTTGCGGCCACGGATAAGGTTTGGTGCAGTTCATTCGCTCAAGAAGGTTCACATATCATCGTATTTTGCGGATGTCTGGTTTCATTATGCAACCGGAAATCAGTGAACAAGTAGGGGTAGCAAATAATCGAAGTAGGTGGAAAGTCGATGAAACACGCATCAATAGCCAGCGGTTAAGCGTGTCGATCGACAAGATACTGTACTACCAGCTAAAAAAGATCAGCGGTACGCCGGCATGCAGTATCGACGGTTCACTGTCGTACAATCACCAACAGTCATGCGAGGGTAACCCGGTTCCCTACGCTAGCTCGAACCCTCAACCTCAGATTATAAGGCAGACTTGTGAGCGGTAAGGTCATGCGCAGACATAACCGAAAATAAGATGGATGAAAAAGGAAGACGTGCAGCCAAATGATGGAGTTGAGGAAGCTCACAAATGTGCAAACGTGTCACATATTAGTCTGGTGGTTGCTGCCGCAGCAATGAACTCCACGCAGATCAGGATAAATCTAAATCATACAGGGGAAAAATAAATGCACATTTCTGGTCGGTAATCAGATAAATGATGGTATCACCCAAGGCAACCAGCTTGGAGTACACAGAGAACACTCCGCGCGCGCAGCGAAGTCCACATTGTCCACAGTGCCCAGGGATAATTGCATGACGAAAGCACATACACACAAGTGGTGCATTTAAATTACGGGGTGAGAGAATGATCGTAAAAAAAACAATGGCTTCTTAGTGAGGGAACTAGAACAGAGGTAGGCGCATGGAGGCTCACGATCGGAATGCGGCAGCCATAGAGGAATCAGTCTGATCTCCATCGCCTCCAAATTGCTTGCCTCTATCATCCTTCACAGGCTGCATGGCACTCGTGAAAGCCAGATTCGTGAAGAGCAAGCTGGATTTCGTCGAGGTCGTAGCTGCATTGACCACTTCTTCACCTTGCGTCAGTTGTTGGAGCACCGTCACATACTGGCGGCCCACCGTTGTCGTGTTCCTCGATATCAAAGGTGCATTCGATCCGGTGGATAGACATGCACTTTGGGACTGTCTACTCAGGAAAAGTGTACCTGAGAAATATGTGAATATTATCCGAGCATTATATGCGCGTAGCTCGGGCAGAGTGAGGGCTTACGGCAAGTTGTCGTCGCCCTTTCATATCTCCAGCGGCGTGAGACAAGGATGCCCGCTGTCACCTTTCCTCTTCAACTTCGCTGTTGACGAAGTCATGGAAATCGCGTTCACAGGACACGACTTAGAAGGTGTGGAGCTACTCCCAGGAGAACGACTTCTTGATTTAGAGTATGCTGATGATATTGCCCTCATCTGTGACAGCTCACAAACGTGCCAAGCGATACTGGACAGATTAGCACTAGCTGTCCGTCACTTCGGGCTTTGCTTCGCACCCTCGAAGTGCAAAGCGTTTCTCCAAGATTGGTCTGGACCGCCTCCTACGCTGACCGTTGGTGGGGATCAGCTAGAAGTCGTTCAAAAATTCAACCAACTGGGAAGTTGTATCAGCGCCCGTGGGATTGAAGATGAAATCACGAATCGTATAGCAAAAGCTCGAGGCGTTTTTGCTAACCTTCGCCACTTATGGCGCCGGCGCGACATCACTCTTGCCCTGAAGGGTAGAGAGTGTACAATGCAGCAGTACGTTCGACCCTATTGTACGGTTGTGAAACTTGGCCGCTTAAAGCAGCGGACCTGAAGAGGCTAGTTACGCTCGACCACCGGTGCCTTCGTAATTTAGCTCACATTTGGTGGGAACACCGCGTGAGTAACGAGCGTGTTCGACGCCTTGTTTATGGCACAGGAAAAGGAAATGAACCGCTCAACACCGTTATTTCACGCATCAGGCTCCGATGGCTCGGCCACGTGTTACGCATGTCAGCCCACCGACTTCCGCGACGTGTATTGTTTGCGCGCCGGAGGTGTGGATGGAAGAAGAGGAGGGGTGGCCAAGCGATGACTTGGTCGAGAGGAATGAAGGCCCTCACTTCTGAGCTGGCCTCGGTTGGAGCGTCTCGGCTCCCTGGTTGGGGTCCGAAAGACGATGAACACGTTTGGTTGGACACACTTGCTGATATGGCTAAGAGCCGACCTCAGTGGTGTTCGTGTTGTGAGTTTCTTTGTCCCACCCCATCCCTTTTAGCCTCACCCTCCAATCACGATCTCATTACTTAGCCTTATATAATTTTGCATAATAATTTTTTTGGGTGCACAGCAGCCGGCTGGTAACTTACAGGAACGATGCCCATCCGTTACCGGTAGCTCAACCAGCTTTCACCAGTTGTTTTACTTTTCTCTCCTTTTTTCTTTGTATTGCGGCACAGTAGCTGAGGTGTTCCCCACCTCTAGCTAACGTGTATGATGATGATGAGGCGCATGGACTAGGGTATTGATAAAAAATGGGACACCGGTCACGCGAAAAGCGAAGTAACAAACAGATGGCTGGAAGTAGAAAAAACGGACGGACCATGGGAAAAACAAAGATGAGGAAACGGGTGATTGCGATCTCAGTTTCAATGAGACATCGAATGTTTACTTACTCGGCTGTTGGCATTCGTCACAAACTGGGCCGATCGACGTAAGCGGCCTACACGATGCCAATGCGGTACTTTGTTGGCAATCAGTCGTTGGATAAGCAGTTCGATTTGATGACCCCACAGATCGTGACCGACGAGCAAGTCCGGATCCAATCTGTGCAACCGGGTGAGGAATCTAGCCAATAACGCCCGTTCATTGGGTTCCACATCAATTCCACCAACGCTGCCTGACACGATGCGTCGTGCACCTCCGCGAACCTGAGCAGAATGGTTTTCATCATCCGAACTGGGTTGGTTATTAGGCCAGTTGGGAGCTGGAGGAGCGTATTGTTCACCGAAGTTGGGCAATTTGGTGCGCAAATCATATGGAAGGGCAGCATCCTTGGGGCATCCTAAAACTAGAAAATCCCAGGAGAAACACAGATTAAAGTCAGAGCAAGCCGTTTTAGCAGCAGCGGAACACAGAAGAGAGGGCATATAAGAGATATTCGATCAATAGACCAGAGTAGAGAAAACTAGTTCCACCTTCCAGTGAATCGGTGATAAATAGCACAAAGTGCAGCAGTTGAGTTTTCGTGTCACCATGACAATAAAAAACGAATCATCGGAAGGAGAAAAGTCACATGATGCGTCCGAAAGAATGGCTAGCAGCGGACGAAAAAGTGCGAGGTACAAACAGCGCGGCAGAGCCCGCATCAACAGCATATGGCATCAACTCATGCAAATGAGCGATTCTGAGACCAGTTTATAAATTCGTCAAACACGAGTGCAATACGGCTACTGAAAGGGAGCCTCATGTGTATTTGCCACAACAGAGAGCAGCCAAATTGTGAAGGAGCCGGGTACAAAGTAACATGGTGTGGTACAGTTAAGGTGGTTTGAGGAAAACGGAATCGTACGGGAAACCACATGCTCAAGTCCTGCCCGCGACCCAGCGTACCGTTTCAAGTAAGATGATCCGTAGCTGATGCTGTAGTTTATCTCTAATTGAAGTGTTCCATTAACCTAAAAGCTATACTCGATGTTTGCTTTCGGTTGTTCTGATGGAAGAGTTTCCGATGAAGGTTAATCCTCCCAGTCTCTAGTATCCGGGCTTCGCGTTTCGTCTCGGGGGTGAGGTTACTCTGGAACACGGTGGTCACCTACATTGCCAACACAGTGGAGTTGCGGGGGCGCGATCAGTTCGGATTCTACGCAAAGAAGCCGAGTATGGGAAAACGTTACGTAGCTATCAGTTGGTTGCCCATTTTGTACGCAAGCTAGAGACAGAAAGAAATGTCAAACGAACGGAAAAGCATCCAGCTATGCCCGAAATGTAGAATTTTCAAGTTTACCGACGCTACTGGCAGCAAAACTACTCAACAACTAGCCCTTCTATGGCCAAATCGCTAGAATCAAAAGTATCGCATACACTGTAAAAAAGGGGGGGCGAACGCTGGTGATGGCCGAAGTATTGATTGGTTCCCCAAGCTGATCAATTTGACTGTGGTAGTGGCTATGCGCTGGAGCCTGAAAATTAACTGTAGGGTGTAAAAGAAAGGTAATGAGGTGCGCGAGACGTCGCGTGTCAACCTGTTCGGAGGTGTCTTATGTGTCACTGCCTTATCCGGAACCATGTTGACAATATCGCCCGCGCATCAGTCAGCCATCTGATGATGAAGGACGACCTCAGAGCCAGTAGCGTTATTCGTCGCCAGTTGGAGAGAAAACGAGAAGCACGTTAGCCACGATGCAATTTAGTTGTCGAGCTGTGTGATACATCACAAAGCAAAGAAAAGTACCCAGTAAGTAGAATTGGAGTATTCACAACTTAATGTTCAAACAAAAGCCCACCTATTCAGTTATGCACAGGCGGACGATGATCACGATCAATATCATTAGCAGACAGTATGTGCAATATTGCGCCGGTTATTTGACTCATCTCTGAATGTTTACAAGCAAAGAAATGCTAATCGGACAACGGTTCGATCGCACTAGATGCGGCGCATGCACACGTGGGCGTTCGCGAAGTGGGAGGCTCAGCTAACGTGAACCACGCAGACTGCCTAATGAACCAATGATCATGTGACAGCACCAGATGATCTCACTGGATATCCGATCCTTAGCGGATACAAGCACAGTTCAAATTCGTTCAAAGCTGGCGCAGAACTAAAGGCAACTTGAAAAGTTGTAAAATAATTGGAACAAATGGAAGTCAGAATTTCAGAGAAGTTCAAAAGTAATAGAACGATATACTTGTCGGTCAACATCTAGCATCTGACACGAAATCTTCGCCAGACTAGGTGAACTAGTATGCGGAACAGATGGCTGTACAGCCTATCGATAAAGTAAATTAGATAATACAAGCTGATGCAGATATTCACATTTTCAACGATGTGAGTGAACAGATGGCCCCAAATGATGTACATATGATGACCATTAGGCGCAACCTCCGACGAATTCAGGAAGCTGAATTCTGTTTGCCAGTGGACATCGAGGATATGTTTCAAAATTCTCTCCTACATGGCGCGATGGCCCAGCGAACCAAAAGTTGTTAGCTGACAATGCAAAGGGGCGAAAATCAGGAGTTGCAGAAGGCAATAAATTGACGGAATGTGAGAATTCGAAATATACTGCAGGAAGTATACCGTCTGTCTGAACATATAAAATTTCCTGTAAAAAAGGTCCAACCTCGTCTTCGGAAAACACACAGATTACAACAGCGACTACCGAATTTGGGTTTTAGTGATTGAAATTGCGCATCTCGCATTTCTTATGATACTCAGTGAACGATTCACCTTCAGCATACGTGAAAAGTATGTTACTGCAGATGGGACTTCAACGAACAGTTACACATGTGCGACTCGATTTAGGATCGTTGCCCGAAAATATGGTGTGTTTCTGTTGATTGGATGTGTGCACGCAGTGGCTGCACCTCGGTGGACCTCAAGATGGAATTCCAGGGGTAGCCATGTTCCCCAAAATGGGGTTGCCACAAGTAGGGAATATCGCGATACAGACCGAAGCACATCGTCAAGGCACACGTCGAGGACATTGAAGTGTTTCAGTAGCATAGAATAGCAGACATATGAGAACAGAGGAGTAGCTGGCACAACCGTGGATGAAGCCATTGTAGAGGCACCACCGAGAATGTTACGCACATTTAGTGAAAACAAAGCGATAAGAAAGTACAAGGGCATAGATGGACACTTGTACCTACCGAGATAGTGGGATTGAAACATGCTCCTTCCAAGCGGACGATCCAAGGAATATGTGTGGTCGATTAATAACCCAATAGAAATAATCTAGGAAGGAAGAAAGTGCAGAGATTCAATCTTGATCCAAAGTCGATGTGCCAGAATGAAACAACTGTCCCGCTTTATTCATAACGAAGTCTGTGGTGTAAATTTACGGCGGGGTCACATGATGACAATGAGAAAGAGCGTGAAGCAGTACGACTTCATCAGTTTAACTGATCAACGCGAATGTAGTAAAATCATAACGAGGCGCATGCAATCGCATCTACTCGTCATCTGGCTTATACGACCTAGGAGGAGCGGCATCCCCATTGGTTCGTAGGAGAATGGTCAGTAAAGTCACTCAGTGCAGGGCTGACAACAACAACAACAACAACAACAACAACCCACCAGTGGTGCGTACAAATAGACGGAAAGACTATTCGGTTTCACGAGGTTCCTTATGGTTGTGCAAATCTGATAGAGGTAGATTTAGCCAATGCAAGAATGGAAACTCTAAATATGGGTTACACATTGAGAATTAATCATGAGAGGATTTTTGATTTAACTTATAAATGCTTATCTGCAGTGGTTAACAAATGGACGAAACGATTGTCAAGAGGTTTTTCGGATGAGATCCAATCTTTCATTTGTATCATCAAACAACTATCTGAAATCCAAAGACACTGAAACAAATTTAAGGTGAAGTGGGTAAAAGAGCAACCGTATTCTATGGGCTTGAACTGAATAGAATGGGATAAGCTCCACTAGTAATAATAATAATAAGATAATGTGTCAGCTGGACGCCGTAACGGCGCTTCGCTGCCGCGCGACCACCACCAGCCGCGCGCGGGCTGAGTATACCGCGAGGACGCCCACCCCTACGCGGATTCGAACCGGTGACCTCCACTAGTCATCTTCAGTAGCTGAAAATCAAATGAGGTTTCATTTATCTGCAACCGCAGACAATACGGGTGAGCACAACACTTGCGAAGAGAACTCTATTCGGCAATTCTCTTCAGGCAAATACAATTACAAGACAGATAAAGGTAAAGATAAACGAACGCTGGGGATGCGATTGTTTGAACGAAGTCGATCAATGGTCCACTGGATACAATCAGACGTCAGAAGTCGCGCGAGCATGCACGGCGACAAACACACGTACAAAGCACAGACAGCTTGGCAGGCAGCTCTACAATAATCACTCTCAGTCGTAATTGCGGTCCGACATTACGGTCACGGCAACAGTTTAGATTATATCAGTGTTCTCTGCTTGCATAAACTCGGCTGAAGTATTCTGATTGCAATGGCTTCAGCGGTGGCCAACAAGCGCTTTCTGATTCATTTGGAGTTGTGGGTCGGTGCCGCGTAGACCACCTTGAATGCGTCACTAGTCCGAATCTGATGGCCGGTACCAAGTAGATGTTTGAGGATCGAGCTGCGGACATTCTTAATCATGCCATGTTGCAAAGAGGCGGGGCAGTGCTCAGGTATCCGTCTTGCAAGTGTGCAATTAAACAAATGGCAATGGGAAGACCCCCCACTGCGGCCGAGCTTTTGTGCATCACAACCACGCAGCGAGCAGATTCATTTACAGACGCAATTCTAAAGTTTAATGCAACAACACACTGATTTGACCCCCACGTCTGCCTGCGCCCAAAACACTTTCAGAAGCACTTTGGTGCACCTTTCTCAGCAGTATCTGAGCTACAAGCCTATATATATATATATATATATATATATATATATATATATATATATATATATATATATATATAGCTAGATAATCAGTAAGTAGACGTGGAGTCATCGAAAAACCATGAGGAACAAAATTGAGAGAACGCGCAACTGTCAGAGAAAGAGTACAAGTGTCGCGAAAAATGAACAATTTATTTGCTTCATATGCCGCTTTATTTTATTTGTGTCATCTCAGCTTGATGCAGCGCCAACCACATTAGTCCATTAGTTCCTGTTTCGCATCATATCAACAAGTGTGTTGAGCCATTGGCAATTCACATATTTGGGTCCCCAAACATGGAACATTACAGGGTCGACGGTGGCGAGACAGGTCAGGGATTTCATGCTTTGCCACCAGCTGGTTGGCTCGCTTGCACGCGTTCACTTTCAATTTAATCCCGTGCGAATAAATAAGGCGCAGCGTGGTAAGCGATCGAATGACATGCGCAGGACGTGACTAAGTCCCCCCCCCCACAACTGGCACATTGCAGCAAGGCGATTAAATGGAAGGCTCATGTCTCCCAAGAGGCGTCGTCGGAATTTCTCTTTACAGACACGGTGCTGCCACCATACATGGGGTGTCCTCCACAAACAAGTTTTGTCGAAGACCGAAAGTCGATACATGCCGTCCACGCGAATCGGCCAAGACTGCCTTCCGTACAAGACCGCGCGGACACGAGCGTTGTAAACGTTTCTTTAAGGCGGGGAATATGCCGTAGATGCCACAAATGACTCCTATTGGTAAATGCCGACCGGCTTTGGTGATGCAGAGGGGTATCTCTTTCCCAAAAGTGCCATCAGCAGAAATGCAATTTCCGAAGTAGGCAAAGTTGTCCACCAGATCTAGCTGTGCTCCTTCAATGGTGAGTGAGTGGGCAGACGACTTCCAGCTCTGGAGTGGCACCGTACACCTCAAGGGAGAAAAGTGCGTGCCATACTTGAGTGCTTCTATCGCTGGACGGTTCAAAAAGAGCTGTAAGCTTTTTATTGTCGGCCAGCGGAGCGATATCATCAGCATAGACCAAACCGGTCACGCGTTACTAGGAAGATGCTCAACACCAAGATTTTGGAAACCTTCTAGAGGCCTTAACAAGACATCATCAATTGCAAAGTTGGAGAGGAATAGGAACAAAGAGCATCCCTGTCGTACGCAACTAGTGGTAGCGAAAAGTAAGGAAATCTTCCTATAGACCCACATTCTCACACTTGGAAGTAAAGCGCCCGAACGATGGAAGTGTAGGTTTCGAGGACTCCATGTGTTAGAAAACAGTGTCATGAAACAGGCGAAACGACTGCGTCAAATGTAGCTCGAAGGTTCATGAAGATAACAACTGTTGGCCTCTGTAAAGGTGGCGGTGTTCAAGGATTTGTTGTAGTGTGAAGATTTGTCCATACATGGTCTGCGAAGCGAAATCCGGCTTGTTCTACGCCGTAAGGTATGTCGTGGATGGGGAATAGTCTACCGATCAGAGTGGGTTCCAGCAATTTGGAAGCAACCGGCATGAGACTAGTTCCCCTGTGATAGGCACATGATGTACAAGCAACTTTCTTGGAAATAGGCACAATTACTGACTTACCCCAGGAGAAGGGAATCCTCTCTCCATGCCATATCTTGGAAAACAGCGATGACAACTGCTTGAAGAGTGCTAGGCCGCCAAAATTGAACTTTTGCGGAGGAAGTTTGTCCGAGCCGAGAAACTTGAATCACCTGAGGTGTCTAATCTCGAAGATCTCCACTTCGTTAGATGGTCCCAATGAAATAGCCCAAAGCATGTAACTGGGTGTACTTGGCCTACAATCGGACGATAGAAGATGATCGAATCGAGTGAAAATGTTCGAACTAACGCTCTACGCATATTCGCAGGTTAGTGATACGTAATCCATCCGCTTCGCATATAGTCTCGGTGACACCAGTCCTTCCGGGGCCGGTGAAACGAATGAGCGAAATGTGCTTGCGGAAATTGCCGGAGAGAGCAGTGGTCTACAACTACGAGGCCCCCTGAGACCACCAAGTTTCGCGGTCATTGCGCAAACGTTGTTTGAGTGGCCGATTGCAAGTCTTGCGAATAGAATTGCAAACTGACTCTGGTGGCACATTTCGCCGTTGGTCAAACACTAACAGCGAGCAAACAGAGATCAAACTGGTTGTCTTATTGTTCGCTGAGCTCGGCAGGTTGACTGCAGTCAACCTGCCGAGCTCAGCGAACAATCAGACAACCAACTGAACAACTGAGCCACCAACATTTGCTTCTATATCGCAGAGATCAAACTTTTCAAATGGCGTTGGATGAGATCGCAAAGCGATTGACCGGTGGGAAGCATCGCTTCATGCAAACAAGCCCAATATTGCTCAACAGACTGGGTTGGATTACATGTGAGACCATCTGATATCGCAGCTAGATAGCTCAGTTAAACAGTGGGGTCAATCTACCTGTTTGTGTCAATCTTACGGTGCAGCTTTTTCGACGACTGCCAAAGTGCGTGCAGATGTTCGCAAAAACCAGCGCATAATCGGAATCGAGATGGGTTAACCAGAATGACCCGCAGTCCTTCGCCAACGGAAACTGATTGCGATGTGGTTGATCTGGGATCAGAATTGCATTGACGACGGAGAGCACCAGGTTGCGGAACGTCTCTTGTTACGCCTGAAGTTGATGCTTGAGAGAAACTGGTGGTTGTCCCACACAAGCTGGAGAGCTGGTCTTCGTTATCTGAGCGTCTGTCGTTAAGCGCGTGATGCCCTCCAAGGTGGAGTTGATGTAGAAGCAGGCGAACGACTCATGCAATAAAATCGCCAGCAGGTAGGACGACATCGGACTTGTCCGATTTACTCAACAGAAGGTGAGGTTCGAGATACAAATCTTACTTGATGGTGTCGTGGCTACGGTCATTTGAGCGATAGGCAAAAATAGCGAGAGTTGCGCGTTCCCTTACGCTGTCCGTTGACACGACATAAGCCATGAACCCGAACTATGAGCGAGGCAGCTTCGACTTACTTACTTAGTGCTACATCAACGCTAACCAAACCTGACGTACGTGCCTCTGCGGAAATTGAAAGACGCAAGGGCATGTGATTCCGCGATCAGAAAGGGACGTGAACCTGGGTACACTGCTGCGATCGTGCAATCTGATTCCAGAAACGCAATAAACGTCAATGGCAAGAGACTCCGGGGTCCGCGCCAGGCCGGCTTGTTGACCAATCTGCATAAGTGTTCGTATGTCGAAGCATGCCAATCAGTGTAGAGATTAAGGTCTAAGTGTAGTAGTCGACTGAGCTTTTCCGGTGTCGATAAAACCGAGATAGGGAGTGGAATCCACGGAGCACACACATGAAGAGTTGGCACGTGGTTGACGTTGGCAAACGATAAATACAGCAGTAGGGGAAGCGTCAGAGGAACCTAAATCCATGGGTTTTCTCAGCAGGCATGATACTACGCAGTTACACAAGCCGAAGTAGAGAGCTGACTTAGTGGAATTCGATCCACTGCCTTGCGACGCAAAGTCATGAAATCGCGCCCACTGAAAGCCAGCGACTGATTGTTCAGTTTACATGCTTTTTATAAAGCAGGCTGGCAAACTGGGGTCCAACCAAGACAGAAATGCAGCCTCCAGATGTGGAATTAGAATGTATCGCTGAAGCAAAGCAAAGGGCAGCGACTTTATTTAGTGGCGAGTCACATCTGCTACGTCACAGTAAGATCCATCACGTCCTGAAACACTGTCGCCGAACTTTTAGCTGGAACAGGGATAACACGAACCACCCAGCTGGCACCACAAGAAGGTAATTCAGCAAGTCAGCCCCTGGGTCTCAAGTGCCATGCGCAAAGTGAAGCCGTGAAGTGAAGACCGTGTCCGAGGCAGACGCATATTAGGTGTTGTCAAGTGGCTATACGGTACATCCAGACCAATTTCGAACCTGTTTACACTCGCCAGGTAGAGAGAGGGAGAGAATAGAACTGTGATTGGAACGAAAAACGGATGAAAACTTGGAAAATCAAGTTCACCTCAGTAAGTGGAAGGCAGAGACCCAATATACCAGCTCGATTCGACGTAATGTGCTCACCTTCTTGAACTTGCGGCATGTTTGACGACAGAAAGGGCGGGTATACAAGGCCAATGTGAGGTGATTTTACGCAGCTGAGCTCGTGTTGTTACATCAAACCAAGAAGCTGCTCCATGAATCCAACTTGGATAGGCCTCACTCTCAGGTTACCGCCTCATGTGTTTACCAATTCACCTGTACTTGCGGTAGCATATACATTGGCCGAACCGAGAGAAGGCTATCAAGTAGGATCATGGAACATGTTCCACCGAACCTGGCAAATAGTGGACCTAAACTCCCTGCCAGCTCCATCGCTCAGCATCTGCTCGATTGTACCTTGTGCGAAAACCCACGTGGCGCATTCAAGGTTACCAGCAGGCAAAACAACGCGAGCTCGCTTCGTTTCGCTGAAGCCTCGGCCATCCGACGAATGAAGCCAAATCTTTGCAAACAGGTAGACTTTGTGGCCAGTCTTGCCTTACCCTGGTAAGACGCAGGCAATGACCTTTGTTTGCTCAGTGTTTTATTGATTTTCCTATTGACTCCCTTTTTCAATTGCATTCCTTTACTCTTTGATCATCGTTGTCTGCGAAACATTGCTGCTGTCGGATAGCGCCAGCGTGTCCGCAACGATGATGTGCGTAGGCAAGTACTAGGTGGTGATAATCACGCTAGCTCCCTAGAACAACAAATAGCACTGAATAAGTTGTGTTGGCTCAGGCACGTGCTACGTATGCCTGGCCACCGCTTACCTAGGAGGGCTTTATGTAGCCTGTCAGGTGTAGGGTGGCGTAAGGCTCGAGGTGGACAAGTTGACTTGACAGCGGGAAATGAAGTCATTGATGACCATCTAGGTGCCGTTGGTCTGTGTCGCCTTCCGGGCTGGTGTCCACATGATTCGCTTTGTGCTTGGCTCGAGACTTTACAGGACATGGCTCGCAGTAGACACCAGTGGCGCGTCTGCTGCCATCTCCTACTCTGATTACCTGTTTAAAGTGTGACTGGTGCTGAGTTATCTGCGGGGTAATGGCTGGTTATGACGCGTGGTAGTGGAAGCCGCAAGGAAGCTGTCTCGCCGATGCCGCCTTACCTTTGCACGATAGCCAGCTGTTTGTGACATGTTACTAACCTTAGGTGTAGGCGCCTTGACCCTGAATGTTTGCTTAGGGCATTAAGGTTTACAGGTAAGTCCCCCTTCTCTCCCTCTTCTTATTCTTTATTTCATAGGTCCTCATGGTTGTATGGCAGTAAAGCACCAGTTCAAATGGCTGATATACTACTGTTGATGATGATAAATGTGCTCACTTCGAGTTGCCGAACTATACCAAAGATCACAACTGGGTGCTCGTTCGATTGTGGTGAATTCACTGGTGCTTTCAGACAAAAACGACGCCCTATAAGAAACGAGAGGCAAGGAGCTGAGGATACCCTACATATTCAAGGAATTCAGCCAAGTCTAACTGTCCCGTGGAATATTCCCACTTTAACTTCGTGCATGTGACTTTTATGGTAAAATGACTTTCGAGGAGCGTGTAGAAACTGATTGACTATCGAGTTATGTCACCATGAGGCCGAATAACAAACTGAATAAGAGAGAGACTGCTCCAGTCGTCAGCTACATTGAAGCTATCCAGTGATATGTTCTGCAACGTCGAGGGGATGCACACACACAACGCGCATAAATATGAGGTTGAATATAGCGTAATATAATTCTGATAAACAAACAGCTTACCTCTGAGTGATTCGCTTGCGGCTGCGTGACTGCCTTGATGTTGATAGCCACGAGACATAGGGGTGGAGACGGAGGGAGTGATGGAATGGTCTTGTTCGAATCGCCGCGGTCAGCCGAAGCGCGCTCGACAAGTGTGCTTAATTTGCTCAAGGGACACTGCGCATCGCATCGCCAACTAACCTCATAATCGGAATTGCACCAGCTAAATTGCGGTTGCACCGGAGCTGAAGAGCAAGTGCCATATGCGTTGAGTAGCAGTGGTATAGGAATGTAAAAGAGAACAATGACGGAAAAGCATGATGAAAAGGCACAGTAAGCAGGCTGATGCACAAACATTTGGCTCACTTGCGCTGTCTACAACCAGCCAACATGGGCCGCGTAGCTGGAGATCGAGGATGAGATTTTCCAGACTATAGGGGGATAGAGAGAATGGATGATACACCGATGAAGAAACCGCATTCATAGAAGAACACGCGGATGCCATAAATCCACTAACTAACTTCGTTTGAATCAAGAGCGTGAGAAGGTTACAAACTGGATACATGTGCGATTTCGGTAAACAAAGAAGAAAAGAGGCGTTAGAATGGATATTCAGCTGCAGTGAGATAGCTTGAATTAAATAATCATACAGGTGAATCTCCAACGAATAAACGGAGAACGGAAACGGTGGAACAGGAACGATCAGCCGGTGTGTTACAAACCGGAACTAAGTCAAAATGCCCATAAGCGAGGCCATTCTACACGGAGATTCTAGCAGTGTTCATCCAAAGCTAGATCAGAGAAATAGAGGCCCCGCGAAACGCTCGACTGAAGTGGATACGGAAAACTGAAAGCCGATGGTGGCAAGGTCTTTAGAAGAAGGATGTCGTGCTCTACGTAAGCAAGGCGTCTCAAGTACTTATGAACAGCGATAAGGTCTACACGGAGTTAGGAGGTTGCAAATATAGTGTTACCGGGATAAATGAGCGCTATTCGTTGTTAACATAGATACAGAAATGATTGCAGTTCAAGATAAAGTGTGGTAATCACACAAAAAAAGCGGAAACAAAGAAGCCATACAACATAAAAAGAACGTGCACGCAGCGTTGTAACGATCAGTAAACACTATCACTCAAGAACTGGGGGGGGGTATCAAGAAACTCTGGAAACATAATAATGATATTTATATTTTTGTATTGTTGCCATCCGAATGAATTGTACTGCGACACAATAGACCGGATGTTTCTCACATATACCGAATGTGGAAAATGATGACCATGATAATGATAACTGCTATGTTGAGGTTGTCAAACGGGTTGCACATAGACTCATCATCACCATACTACACGTTAGCTACAGAGGAGGAGCACTTCAGCTACTGTACCCCATACAGACAGATGTTGATGGACATCCAAGTGCCGAGAGCGGTTTCGGCCCCAGAACGGAGAACTGATCTCTATGGTTGCAGTATCACAAGTACCGATTATGAGTGTGATCAATCGAACGATGATAGACGAGTGCCGGTCATGAATACAATTCCAGAGGCGCAGCGTGGGGCAATACTTAAGGAAGCCAGTGTCTTGGTATATGACTTGTAGATTTATTCGCTTACTGGTACTTGCGACGAATAGCAAGAGTGGGAAAGCTAGGAGACTGATGGGCGATGTGTTAGACGGCAAGGCTTTGGTGTCCATGGTAACCATCGGAAGTTGTTCCGTCTGGTAGAGGAAACGGGCAGCAGGAGACCTGATGTTAATGAAACTATACCTGACGAGAGTGGACAGCCCATACACAACTTGTCAAAACGTTCGGAGAGTTAGGCTGAGCATTTTGAAAAACAATTTAATCGGCCAGAATTGTTCGATTCCTCATCGGCCAGTGAGCTTTCCGCTCTCTGGGATGACCGTTTGGATCCGCCCTCTAGCTCAGAAGTCGAAATTGACATCTTACTGCTGAAGTTGAATAAAACCGGGGGACCAGATGATCTTCCCCCAGTGGATATTCTACAACAGTTACTAGTGAAACTGTAGGAGCAGGAAGCTGTTCCGACAGACTGTAGCCCACACTGTTATAGTCGGAATGCGATAAGCACAGAGGGATCAGTCTAGTCCCCATCGTCTCCAAATTAATTGCCTCTGTCATCCTTCACAGACTAATTGGCAATCGTGAAAGCCAGATTCGCGAGAAGCAGGCCGGGTTCAACCGTGGTTGGGGATGCATCGACCACATATTCACATTACGTCAGCTGTCGGAGCACCGTTATATATGTATTGGCTGCCAACCGTCATCGTGTTCCTCAACATCAAAGATGCCTTCCATTCAGTGGATGGACGTGCCCTTTGGGACGGTCTGCTAAGGAAAAATGTGCCCAAAAAGTATGTAAATATTATCCGACCATTTTACGCGCGTAGTTCGCGTAGGATGAGGGCTTACGGCAAGCTGTTGCTGTCCTTCAATATCTCCAGCGGTGTAAGACAAGTATAACCGTTGTCACCTTTCCTCTTCAACTTCGCTATTGACGAAGTCATGAACATCGCATTCACAGGATAGGACTTAGAAAGTGTGGAGCTGCTTCCATGTGAACGACTTCTTGACCTGGAGTATGCTGAGGATATTGCCCAAATCTGTGACAGCTTCCAAACTTGCCAAGCAGTACTGGACAGATTAGCACAGGCTGTTACCCATTTCGTGCAATGCTTTGCACCTTCGAAATGTATAGCTTTCCTCCAGGATAGGTGGGGGACCGCCTCCTACGCTGACCCTCGGTGGGGATCAGCTAGAAGTCTTTCCGAAGTTCAACTACTAGCTAGTTGTAACAAGGACGTTGGAATTGAAGGCAATATCATAAACCGTATAGCAAAAGCACAAGGCGCTTTTGCTTACTTTCGCCACCTATAGCACCGGCGCGACATCACTCTCTCCTGAAGGGTAGAGTGTACAATGCAGCCGTACGTTCGACCCTACTGTACTTTTGTGAATCTTGGCCCGTTAGATCAGCAGACATAAGGAGGTTAGTTACGTATGATCTCCGATGCCTACATAGTTTGGCTCATATCTGGTGGAAACACCACGTGATAAATGAGCGTCTTTGACACCTTGTTAGCGGCGGTGGAAGAGAAAGCAAACCACACAGAACGGTTATTTCACGCACCAGGCTCCGATGGCTGGGTCACGTATTGCTCCTGTTAACCCATCGACTCCCGCGAGGTGCGTTGTATGAGCGTCGGGGTTGTGGATGGAAGAAGAGAAGAGGTGGCCAAGCGATGACCTGGTCAAGAGAAATGAAGACCCTCACTTCGAATTTGGCCTCGGTTGGAGCCTCTCGGCTCCTTGGTTGAGGACCGAAGGATGATGAATACGTTTGGTTGGATAGACTTGTTGACATGGCTAGAAGCCGAGCTCAATGGCGTTTGTGTTATAAGTCACTTTGCCCCTCTGCTTCCCGCTTAGCCTCCCCCACCAACCCCGTTCTCATGTATGTGGGATAATATGACTACTTATTTTGCGGAACAATAGCCGGCTGTTAGCTCTTCGGAACGATGTCCATCCGTTACTGGTGACTCAACCGGCGTGCCTCTGTTTCATTTTTTTGTATTGAGGCACAATAGCTGAGGTGTTTTCCACCTGCAGCTAACGTGTAAAATGATCACATCGAAGAGGGTGACCCTGTCGAAGCGCCGCAATAGCTGATGCAGGCTGAAGCTACGGTTTGTTGGAAATAGCGAAGTTGTACGTGATTGTGGTAGTGTCACAGGGCGCAAACGGGGAAAAAGAAAAAGTCTATGGTTCCCACCAAAAGCCTGGTGGGGAAACAATGAAAATATTATAGTGCTGGTATTTTACAGAAATGAGTGCCACCGACCTTTACCTACCAACATGGAGGGCGCTAAGGGAGTGTGTATGTTAGAAGAGCATTTCACCGAGCCTGGTAATTAGGTTTCAAAGGTTTCGTCACCGCTCGAGTTGATATCATCAGTGCGTTAATGTTTATCTGAACGAGAGATGCGTAAGTAGATGTGAAGTGAATAGTCGTGCGCGTGCGTTTTTATAGATCATCTTCAATAGACGTTTGGACAGGCGAACGTTGAAAACGGCCCCTTTGACCCATGACTTGTGACCATGGTCCGTTGGTCTCCGCGGTTAAAAATACTGCCTGAGCTGCTCGTAAGGTGTCCTCTTCTATTTGACGTATTCGACTGTGGTGGTGGTGGCACTTTGCACGCAGATTTGTGTGGATGGCGTCCAAATCGACAAGCCGACTGATTTAATACTTCGTGGAGTGCTGTGCTTCTAAGCATTCATTTGCCTATTTCGTATTCCTAACCACCATAAGCTATACGTTTTCTGGGTCAAAATGATGGCATGCTCTATCCTCGTGTAAAGAAACCAATGAATAGGGGTCATGCCTTCTTATGCACTGTGCTCTGTGCGGAAAGCTTTTCTTCCAGTTTGTCCGATGTGGTGCTCATCACATTCGGTACATGTTGTCTGGTAAATAACATGGGTCTGATGAATTTGTTCTTCAGCATTCGGTTTTGAGAGCAACATTTTCAGCTGAGCATTCGGTTCATGTACTGATGTGATTCCGCATGCCTGAACGACCGATGACGATGACCAACAGATAAGCACGCGCGCGACTAGCCGGTTCACCACTACCTACCCATCGCTCTGCTTCACTAAATGCTAACGCATTGATAATGTCATCTCAAATGATGACGAAATGTTCGCGACAAAATTGCCGAGGTCAGCGAATAGTTTCAGCTAACAAATGAAAAACCTCAGCTAGCCATATTTGCTTTTATATCAAAGGTTGGGTTTATTTGACAGAGGAGCATCTAAGACTTCAAATGGGAATCCAAAATAAGTCTCATTGTGTCAAAGTAACACGCCAACTACCGCACCAGATTAGAATTCAGTTACGTCTCAACTGCACTGAAAATGTCGCACATAAGCGGTAGGTCACAGCTGCGTTTGTTCAAAGGATAGGCAACCGCGGAGGAAAGTAAAAGTGGCGTGTAGAACGATTGTGGTGGGGGGCCAAGTCTAGGTTGTCATGAGTTCGGTACAAAAAAGCGTTATCAGGACGCTCAACGGCACTAGACAGTTACTAAGGTATCTTCCGGATGAGTCCTAGCCGTAGTGAACATACTAACCATCTTCAAATTCTTATACTACTGCTAGAAAATTAGTAACTGTTGGAGTAACCAAAACTAATATAATAGCCGGCGTACTGGCGTGGAAACTTCAAATAGCGAGAGCGAATGCAAAAGGACAGCCCATGGAGCGGGACAATCACTGGCTAGTGAAAAATCTAACAATTCCGAAAGATTAAATTGTCCTTCAAAATGCCCCAAGCGCATTGACAAGTTATGAATAGGCTATTCACTCTCGTCATAAATAGTTTCACAAAAAATGTCTCCCGTTGTCCGCCCCCGTACCAGAAGGACTAACACGATGGTCACCAGCGGTAGCGGCCACTTTTACCTCTGACGCACAATGAGATCACCAGCATTCGCGGTCTCTCGTCAGGCTACCACGTAGTTTTGCCCTGAAGTCTCCGCGAGTCATATTGTGTTCGATTACAGACGGAATTTGCCGGCGAGCATCGATACATTACAGATACTGTGTAGAAACCCAATGTCCATGTTGGCTGCTATTGGATTTACCACATGAAGATTTACCTGCTGCTAGTAAGGTCTGGTGAACATGCAACCAGTGACCTTCAAGTATATTTAGTGAGTGCTTGCTCAACCCGAACCCCAGCGTACCTCGATACGCATTCAGAACATTCGGCATCGCCAGTTGGTTGGTGTCGTCGAGGGCGCCAGCCAAAACGCACCCAAAGGTCAGCACATAGAAGTACATGATCAGTGTCCACACATGTGTTCTAAATCGAGCGACAGTTTTGGACGCAGTCTCTCCCGCGGTAACTGATCGCGATGTGATCGATTTGCGTCCATGGTTTGTGGGCGCCACGTCACCCTCCGGCGGGTGCTGTGTCAGAAGTTAGTGCACGGCGTACGTGAAAAACACATAACAGCTTGCGATGCAATCGCATGACGCGAGGTGGTGTTTTCCAAGGGAATGTTTAGTGCGGAGAAATACCAGAGTTTCAGTGAACTACATTGGGAAAAGATATGGTGTGCGCCATTGCCTTTGATGGAGTGTCTGGGATGAGTTTAAAACATGCCTTCTGACAGTTGCAAAAGCAAACGACGTTTCTTTCACCCAACCTCCGAAAGTTAAAACTACTTATTATGACCATAAAATATTTCAATTTGCTAATTTCGCTTGGCTGCATCCAGCATAATTATTAATGGAGATGAAAACTAAGGAAACTGGATCTAGGGAACATCGAAGATGGGATCACAATGAATTAACAAAGTGATCCAGCTGAGGGAAAATCTATGCTTACTAATGAGTAGAAGGAATTTTGATGAAACTTTACTGATCCATCCCAGTAGATTACAAGCTGGAAGTCTAAATCAATACGGAAAAGCGCAAGAAAGTCGTTTTGCCCTATTGCCATCATGTGACTGTAAGCGGGTTAAGATGCTATGGAAGTATCCAAACTCATGCAGGAATGAGGGTTCGAAACTGGAACATCGAGGTTGTTAAACGCGTGTGCAAGATCAACAATCAAAACACAACCAGATAGGAAAGTTTGAATGTGGATCCTTATAGGAGGGAGACGCTAAAGATCGGCATATCATGTTGCCCAGCGGATCACGTATTTACATGAAGAAAAATGACTGCTCATTTGGGATAATTACCAAACACAGTATCGTGTGAAAAAAATAATGATCAGTTGTGATCAAGCGACGTTGGGAGCAGCTCAGCAAAACTGCACTCAAATATGCCGATGAAATGAAGAATTTATGCTCAGTAGAAGCCCCAGAAGAAAGTAAACGTCCAAACTTGCTAACCGTAACAGATGAACATCATCATCAATACACGTCAGCTGAGGGTATGAACCAAACCTCAGCCAATGTGACGCAGTGACAGATGATAAAAATGACCTATTTATCTAGGGGTCAGCAAATATGTCAGATCACGAATTGTGGTGAGAAAACAAGTTTTCATGCAACCAACTATTTGCCACAGAATCGGAAGAGAGATGGTGGACGATGTGTGGATTGAGAAATGTGGTATAATTAAATTTACAAGCAAGAGTGAAATTCCCATCACCCCATAGGCAGCATAGAAGAAACTACTAAGTCCGAAGCAAGGCAGGTAAGTGAGAAAGTAAACATTCGGATTCGGTGTAATCAGAAACGATAATAAGAAACAGATCGAAATGAGTACAACGAAAAGCCGGAAATCTGCACTAGACCTCATACGTTAAACTCACAAAGAAGTGTTAGTTCCGAAAATTCTAGAGAAGGTTTTCCCTTGCAAATCCGACGGCAGTGATGGAAAGGCAGCAGAGTAGCGAACTTCTAGATATTCTGTCTCAATGGGAACGTCGGGTAGCTCAAAAGCGTAACGCTTTGTGGATGGCTGGAAAAACAAACCAAACCAAAAAACCGAAATTGCGGAACAGAGATACGCAACACGAGGTGTGGAAAAAACGCATGGGGGCATTGTGTCACTCCTACCTTGCACCGAAACTTGCCGATTTTTCGCTCCACGCTAATGTCGCGGAATTCTGCATAGACATCCTTCATGCTGAAATTCGGATCAGAATCAACCTGCACAAGGTGAGGAATTAGCAAGCATTACAATGTAGTAAGACCGATGGAGAAGCCACGGGTAGAAACGGAAACAACTACCGGAAGCGCCTAGGTACTCATGCCAAGTATGCATGGAGCAGGAAAAAGCGAATTGTAAAATGCACAGGTTGGTTACGAAGTACTGGAGCTGCATAAATCATAGCCAAGACCATCAACTAGGTTGGGTGATGGAGGTAGCTAGAGTATAGGCGACATCAGACCGTATGTCGTTCTAATGTGGATATGTTCAAAATCAATTACTATGAATCCGTCCCAGCAGAAGTGAAGCACATAAGGGGTCAATAAACAATGATTTAATGCAGTCAAAATGCAAACGTGTTATCACATGCAAGGAATAATCCAAGGGCTTTAGGATAAACACATGAGATATGCAATTCAGGCGGAAACGAATCCTCACCAGTTCTGGGCGAGGAAGAAGATAGACGCGTCTTTCCAAGTCCTTGATGCGAAGGCAACAAGTGTTGTGCGTTACGGAGCAATTGGGGGCTCCAACTTTCCCGAAGAGATACACAACACCTAAAAGGTACACGATAAGTGTTGCGATAAAAAGCGTTTGGGAAACATGAGTAGAACAGAAAAAGTTCGACCACTTATATGAAAGGTCATTGAACATCTATAAACGTAAAGTAGGTGTTGGGTTTAAGACAAAGGTATGAACTCGGTCAACATCAGCGCGGAATGACTTCACAAAAAGGTGAGATCTTGGCTAGGTTGGAGTATGCCACAAACAACATTGCAAATCACGCTTGTCTGGACCCTTGATGAAGAGATAGCCGTAGTTGGTAAGGTAACTCTGGAATTAGTGACTGATGACCGGCGCTTTCATCACTAGGCCACTGAGTTCCACCAACAAAATAAAACAGAGCGTTTAGAAATATATTATTGGGCTCTGAAGTACCGGCTGTGTGTTTAGATTGTGATACCACTAGTGATCAAGGCGTAAACTGTTAGGTACTCTGTGCTGGGTTTCAGTCTAAACTAAGTCACCATAGCCAAATTCAGAACGAGACCAGTCGTGGAGTGCGAAGTTGAAAGAGAGAACGAGAGGAAGGCAAAAGCCCGCGCCTTCGGATGTGATCTCGAAGGTGAAACAGGCTGAGTTATTTCGAGGGAAACAGTGGTCCCCTCTTCAAATTCGGGAGCCCAGCTTTTGATGCTGATTTGCACGGATTACTAATGAAACTGTGGTAGCAGAAAACTGTCCCCATCGACTGGAGCCGCACCGATAATGTCCCGATCGTCAAGGAAGGCTCGCGTTCGGAGTGTGGCAACCATAGAGGAATCAGCCTCAAACTGCTCGTCTCCGTCATCCTTCACAGACTGACTAGCATTTGTGAAGGCCAGATTCGTGAGGAGCAAGCCAGGTTTCGTCGAATTCAGGGCTACATCGATCACATCATCGCTTTACGTCAGTTGTTGAATCACCGTCACATTTGGGGGTCCACCACTGTTGTGTTCCACAACATCAACTGTGCATTCGATTCGGTGCGTCAATGTACCCTTTAGGACTGTCAGTTAAGGAAAGATTTGCCCGGGAAATAGGTAAATACATGTAAGATGTCCATTTCGGTTATTTCCAAGAAACAAACAACGGTTTATTCGTACTTTTCCAAGTGTATCGCCACTTTACCCCTTCATGAAACAGCTCATTTCTCCCCAGGGTTAAGCCACAAATTATTCTGAATACTGTATTATAGTGAAGTAGAAATGAATTCTGTACAACTCTTTCGAAGTATGGTGAAAAACGTTTTAAAAGTTGTCACCCGTGAATATCGTTATCGTTCTCATGTGACATTTAAAATACCTGACTCACGGTATTGTAAGACTCACAAATCTGACATGTCATCGTAAGTGTGCAATCGTTCTCTGAATCGAATTGTGGTAAAATATAAATCCAACAACATTTTGAACTGATATTGCCTCCATCACAGGTTTAGACAAACTGTTCCAAATACTTAGCACTCTCCGTTCGAAGCACAGTGGGTGGGGAACTCGCATCAAATCCAGCACCACAAGTTTGTATCTGTGTTCGCGTATACTGTATGGTTCTCGCAAGTCCAGCATTGGCCTCAGCATGGGGAAGTCATCGGTGTGAATTCCAAGAAGGAAAATGAGCGATAAGCTTTCGATAAACAAATGTTTTTGATTAATTCCTCATCAGGTCGTTGCAATAATAAACGCTATGTTGGAATAGGTAGATTGCTGTAAAACAGATCATTAGACCATACAGTTTAAAGTGCTTTCCCGACAATGTTCAGGTGATCAAATCACTGATGTCATGGGAGTGTTGGGATGTAATCCCCTCGGTTCGAGCGCTTCACGCGCGTAGTTCGAGGAGAGAGGTTACGGCAAGCTATCATCGCCCTTCAAAGTCTCCAGTGATGTGACACAAAGATGCCCGCTATCACCTGTCCTCTTCAACTTCGCTATTGACGAAATCATGGAAATCGCGTTCACAGGACACGAGTTAGAAGGTTTGGAGGTTCCCAGATGAACGACTTCTAGACTTAAAGTGTGCTGACAATATTGCTCTCATCTGTGACAGCTCCCCAACGTGCACTGGACAGATTAGCACCGGCTGTCAGCCGTTTCGTGCAATGCTTTACACCCTCGAAATGCATAGCTTTCCTCCAAGATCGGCAGGGACTGCCACGTGTGCTGACTCTTGGTGGGGATCAGCTAGAAGTTGTTCAAAAATTCAACTACATGGGCAGTCGTATCAGCGCAGGTGGAATTGAAGACGAGCTCGCAAACCGTTTGCGAATGTACGACGCGCTTATGCTAACCTTCGCCACCAATGGCACCGGCGTGACAGCACCCACGCCCAGTAGGATAGAGTGTACAATGCAGTCGTACGTCCGACCCTGTTGTAGGTTTGTAAAAGCCGACATAAAGAGGCTAGTTACGTTCGACCACCGGCGCCTTCGTAGTGTGGCTTATGTCTGGTGGAAACACCATGTGATAAATGAGCGTGTTCGATGCCTTGTTTATGACACAGGAGGAAGGGAATCGTTCAGCACCATTAGATCACGCAGCAGACTCCGATTGCTCGACCACCAGTTGTGCATGCCAGCTCACCGTTTCCCGCGACGTGCGTTGTTTGCGTGCCGGGGGTGTGGATAGAAGAAGAGGTGGCCAAGCGATGACTTGGTCAAGAGGAATGAAGGTCCTTATTTTCAAGTTGGCCTCGGTTTTGGGGCCGCTCGGCTCCCCGGTTGGGGTCCGAAAGATGATGAACACGTCTGGCTGGATACACTTGTCGACAAGGAGAGGAGCCAACCTCAATGGCGTTTGTGTTGCGAGCTTCTTTGTCCATCCCCATTCCGCTTAGCCTTCCCCTCCAACCACGATGTCATTTTCTAGGTATAATATAATGCTTTTTTGCGGCACAACAGCGGGCTGTTAGCACTTCGGAACGATGTGCATCCGTTACTGGTGACTCAGCTGACGTGCCTCTGTTACTTATTTTCCTTTTTATTGTATGGCGGTCCAGTAGCTGAGGTGTTTTCCACTTCTAGGCAACGTGTATAATGGTGATGATGATGATGCCAACTGAGCACGTGTCGCAATGCAAATACACACAGGGCACTCCAAAACCCAAAAAGAAAATCATGTGTGTCTGATACGTTTAAAGACGGATTCAAAGTGTCGTGACGTAAGGCACAGATTGAATAAGTTTGATTCAGAGGGAGCCAAAATGTGGTCAACTACAGTCAGAGCACACAGATGCGGGGGGTCAGTTGTCCCAATCCAGCGAAAGTGAACTGGGAGAAGTTTAAACGGGTTTGGCTAAAGAAGTCTTGTATGTGGTAGCAGATACAAAACAAGCAGATGATGTTATGTGTAGACTACTGACTACCGTCGACTACTGAATTAACTATTAATGTGAGCATAAGTTCGCATTAAAATGACGTGGAGTGGAAGTAAGTCCATCTTTGACAGGTAACCCACTTTTATGGCGGATATATATGAATACCTCAATACAGACTCAATACAGAGGGGGGTCAAACCGACAAACCAGTTTGCATATCAGCATACTCTCGATGACGGTAACATCGAACAGACTAAAGGGAACGAAACGCGAAACGCCAAAATGCCTATTAACAAGGGAGACAACCTATGGCACTCGTCTGAAGGGGGACGTAGTAGTTGAACAAAGTGAAAAACCTGCGACTACACAAAAACTACAGTGTTACAGATAGAATTCAGGGTAAAAAAACAAGTAAAGAAGAACCTGTGACGGTTAACGGTGACGATATGTAGATGAAAGTTGCGGTATAGTGGAAATGACTTGTTATTTTGCAGACATTTTCTGAGTGCGTCAATGTCATATCTGGCTTCAGAGGACGCTGCGATATTATAACTGAGAGGAAGTTGAAATTTGGCTGAAAATACGAATGAGACGGCTAGCACGCACGTCAGGTCGAAAAGGAAATTAGTTACAGGTCCCGATGACGTAATACGCGAGTGGTTGGGGTATCGCTGGAACGTGGAAGCCTTATGACCACGTTCAGTTAGTTCGAGACCTACCACTTACTGTGCAAGCCAGGTTGATCTGACTTCGACCTCATGTAGAATCAGAAGCCCACGACTTGACGCGAAAGTTTGTTGCAGGACCAGTTGGTGAAACGAGCACAAGTAGTGTGAAAAGTAAATATTTGTAGGTCAATCGGGGATGCGCTCGAGTGCTAGATCGGTTAGATCAGCTGTTAGAATTACAAGTTTAGTTCTGCCCTGAACAGTGAGAAGGCGAGCACATGCATCATGTAATGGATCCGAGTTTTCTTGAAATAGCCTAATGTTTCGGTGGTACACCATTATATCACTTGATTTTCTCATCGAGATGGTGGATGTCGCCGAGAGATTTTCTTCTTGTCGGACAACTAATAACAAGTTAAAACCATGAAACACCGAAAACCTAGCGGTTGTCATCAGGAAAAGAAGACGATGAATGCCCGGAACGTTTGTTCAAATGTTTCAATTTTGTGTTAGATATCACTGCTGAACATGTGAACAAACCAGTTTTAATCAGGCCAACTTTAAGCATATAAATAAAATAAAAAGCAGCGTATGACATGTTCGTAGTGAGAATCGTTCTGCTCAGATAAAGTTGGATAATTAGCGGCAGTAAACACCAACAGTTGTTTGTGCGTAGTTTCCATGGGTGGAACCCCGATCACAATTGTTCTAGAGGGTGGACGGACCTCATCACACCGAGTACTTTGCCGATTGTATGGCACATGGAATGGCCGAACAAAGTTAAACACAATAAAAAAGTGAAAATGCTGCACTCTCTGTTATGAATAAAGTAGATATAGTATGAACAGCATTACCTGCTTGGTGACGACTGTCTTCGTAGGCATCAAACCAATAAAACAATAGTCTATTCTTCCCGACCACAGAAGAAGTATCCAAAATGTCCATTTGTGTGGTCCATGTTTCCATGGGTGCCAGTGTTTCGTTATCTCCAGCAAACCAATCTGAGTCTGAGAGCTCCGGCTCAAAGGAAATGTGAGTCTCCATATCAGACGGTGTTGGAGGGTTAAGAAAAACCTCATCAGGTTGTGCAGTGACAGACTGTCCAATATCGGATGCAATTATCTCTGGCTTCATCTCCATAGCACTTGGTTTGGGGGAGGAAACTGGAAGCAACGTTGCACATAAGAGTGGAGATTATGAAAATAAAACGGTTCAAAGGAAACACTGGATACAGAGAAAATTATCGATATTCGGTGCCACTGAGTGAAAATAAGACAATTCACCACAAATTTGATGAATCGTCAAACCTCGTGTTAAGATATAGATGCAAATAGAGCTTACACTATCCAAGCGGGAGAGAATGAAAAGAAGAGGAGGCAGCAGTTTGCATCACGGAACATCGCAACCAAACAATAGGTGCTCTCTAAACATGAATAATTTTCCATCGGTGATCATGGGTCTCAACAGCTTTATCGGAGTGAGCGCAAGCTAATCGTTTTGCCGTGCATATTTCGATTCTAATTTCCCGATTGTGGATCCGAATAATGAAACCTCGCAAGTTAACTATCGCTTCCGTTCAATTCTAATGATATATTCGAGGTATGTATTCGTGATCGGGAACGCCGCTTCAGCTGTGATTGTAGTTGAATTATTCACCGCGGCTAGTATCAGTTGGATAAAATGGAACCAGTGATATTTGTCATGTAGCCCATCGTGAAAGCATCGAAGAGAGATGGCAAGGACAAATTAGGTGTCGAACCCCTGCGGATCCCGTGATTCACGTTAAAACCTATATCAAACGGCAGACAAATTCAAAAGTTCGTGTACCCCGAGGAGATTGCAAACGGCGGCTTTAAAAATCCAGATATTCGGATGAACATCCAACTCGAGAAGCAGTAGTAATAAAGTGTTGTTTAGTCACATACTCATCTCTACATCTTTTCTCAGTTAATTGCATCCATAACGGTTTCAAACTCAGGCTTAAGAAACTAGGTTCCGTCCATACATCTTTCAGAAACGTCCTTAAGGCAATCATCTACGTGGCGCGAATGCACCAAATCACGCCACCTCGTCGGTTGACCAATCCCAAATCAACCAATAGCATATCAGATGAGTTTACGACATGAGTTACCAGAGAAGGCTTGGGTGTAGCGCAGATCGCGTGCAATTTGGTGGGGGCCTAGTCGCGCTCGACACTCGTGTGTCGGGTATGATTGGATACACTGAAGCTACACACGT